CTCTATGACTTTCAGAAAAAAAGTTATTCAAAAATATCTTGTACTTTTTATTTTAGATTTGGTGGTTTGACCCCTTCCGAAGGTCGTAGAAGCTCGGGGACGGTACCAATGGATCGGGCATACCCACTTTAGTCCAGATGGAACCAACTTCCAAGTCTCTATGACCTTCAGAAAAAAAGTTATTCAAGAATATCTTGATCTCCAATGGGTTCCATCCCTAACCCTAATCACAACCCTAACCCTAATTACAACATTAAAAAAAGCCAAATTAACTTCATGTTCAGCTCCTGCATGCAACGTCACCATGGATGAATCATCACTGAAATGATATTTCTTTTGGAGGAAAAGTTAAAACACAGGATGATTCTCAGGCAACTTCTGATGTATTTAGATTAATTCTGCTGATTTAAGGATATTTTAATGAAATTGACATGGCGATAATAAGATCTTGGGAAAGCATAAATAACACTCTTAATCTTAAGAGTGAGTTTCTTATTTTTAATCTAATTCATATTTGAGCCGACACTGAGACTCCTGTCCGAACATAAAGATGTGTGAAGAGTTGCAATTTGATCAAATGAGTTTTCATTATCACTGTCAGTATTTTTGTCTGTTAAGTATTGTCACATGTGACCACTATGGCAGCAGTGAGGCTGCTTATGCTAAACAAGATGTGATGAAACACTGTTGTTTTTAAAACATCTCTGCATCTTTAATGGACTGAATATCCTGAGGAGGGAATACGACTCAGAGAGGAAGAGAGAGGAGATCAAATTTTGATGTGAAACATTTCTTCACTTTCAGAAGAATTTATCATCCATATTTCAAACACACACACAAGGACACACACGCATGTCTAAAAGGAGAAGAAACACGATGGGACATAAAGGGAGGAAGGAGGAACACAGGGCAAAGAAAGAATGGGAAAATAGGAATGAGGAGTGACAGAGAATCAGGGTGAAGTTATGGGAAAGGAAGTTAGGAGAGAGTTAGTAGCAGAACAGAGAAAAAAAACTGGAGAAACAAAACACCATATGTGACAAGAATGAAGAACAAGAGGAGGAATTTTAAAAAAATGTGAGCAGTGACTAACAAAGGTGATTGTACTCATGTCTACATGTGCATATAGAGCCACAAGTGCAGTGTAGTGTGTCCTGTGAAGATTCAGCGTCTGTAATCTCCAGAGTTTGTATCCGCAGTGAAACTAATCTACGACAGCACCCGCCTAAAGAAACGGATTCATCTTCTGAAGTATCAAAGAGATGTGGGAGATAATTCTCAGTCTGGCACATGCGGTTCTACACACATCAACATCTCCCTCTGACAAAAAACTAAATAATCAAGCACAGGTCTCACAATACGGAATATACTGTACGTCCATCAGCACCACCCTGCACACGTCGGCAGCCAATCACAGAGCTGACATATGCAACACAAACAACCCTGCACACTCAAACCTACAGGCAATTCACAGACGCCAAATAACCTGCATGTATCTGGACTGTGGACAAAAAGATGGAGCAACCGGAGGGAACCCACACAGCGGGGGGGTGAAGTGCTACGACACAGAAAGGCCCTCCCCGCCCGGGAGGTTTGAACCCAGAAAAACTCTCGCTGTGAGGGGACGATCATGAGCACTGCTCCACCGTGCCGCCTGTGGCGCGACATGAAAGAGGCAAATTCTTTTGATCGGCCTCGAGTGGAAGGAAAAGAAAATGATCTCCCTAGTCACATCAGCAACGCTTTGTGAACATTAACTTGAAACGGTGGAAACAGACTAGTGTGATGATCCAAACAGAATTTAAATCTGACACCTTCACAGGAGAATCTATTCAGGAGGACAGTAGGTGAAGTAACTGTGCAGGTCTTTGTGTGAACCAGACAAAGCCTTTTTTTATTGTGACAAAAGATTCCTGTGACAGAATGTGAGCACAGGGAGATTCAGTGAGAGGAGAGGAGAGGAGTGGAGAGGAGAGGAGAGGAGAGGAGAGGAGAGGAGAGGAGAGGAGAGGAGAGGAGTGGAGAGGAGAGGAGTGGAGAGGAGTGGAGTGGAGTGGAGTGGAGTGGAGTGGAGAGGAGAGGAGCGGAGAGGAGCGGAGAGGAGCGGAGAGGGGGATCGCTGCAAACAAACAAAAAAGAAAGAATCTGTAACTTTACCAAATCTGGCTACTGGTGCAGGCTTAAACTCAACACGACTCTTCAGTGTGTCAGTGTGATTGGTGGAAGATGACTTGATGGATGTGTGTAGCTGTGGTTAAGGAGGTAGAGCGGGCCTCCCACAATGCACAGTGGATGAATATAAACACACCAAAATCTGCTAAATATGGTGAAAGATCGTAAAGCATCTCTATGTGATAACATACGTTGCATATGGCAGCTCAGAGACTGTCTCGGGAAGTGTGCTTCTTGTTTTGTGCAGAATTATTCCCACTATGAGTCAGACATAAAACTGATCTGTGCCATAAATCGTTTGCCGCGATGAGAAAACCTCTCTCCCTCCGAGTAGCAACAGCTGCCAACATGTGAGAGATTGCATGTCAGGGGAGCACCGGCATCAAAAAGCTGCGATTGAATTGAGGCGACAGGACGGGCAGATGTCAGTTTGACAGACAGCAAATCCAAGCCGGCCCCTGATTAAGTTAATGACAGCAGCCATCATTGTAATGGGACTGTGTTCACTCGGCCTGAACTGTGCAGCTAGAGGAGCTAATACAAAAGATCTTAGTGGGTTTAAGTGCTCTGGTACGTTTTAAAGTATTCATCCAACAAGGTTCTGGGTTCAAACCTGATGGGTTCTGATGGGTGGGGAGTTTGCATGTTCCCAGTGTGACTGCGTGGGTTTTCTCTGGGTGGAACCGGCTTCCTCCCACAGTCCAAAAACATGCAAGTTAGGTTGGATAAGTGGAGAATCAAAATTGGCTGTGAATGTGAGTGTGAATGTTTGTCACTATGTCGGAACTGTGCTGGCGACCCGTGTGGGGGGTGTACCCAACCTCTCGTCCACTGTCAGCTGGGAAGGGCTCCAGATCCCCCAGAGGAGTTATAGATAATGGATGGAAAGAGTATCTTTATTTTTGAATCTTTGCATCTGTTCTGTTTTTGTTATCTTCTATTGACGCAGTGACGCAGCTGAAATGTTGAAGTGCTGCAGTGTGAAAAAAGCACAGAGCTGCCTGTTGAATTGTGCACTAAGAGGCTAAGATCCCAACAGACAGGAGAACTGCGATAGACAATCTCGTCTTTTGTGTGCTGCCTCATGGGAGGTGTGGCTTCATGCACTTGTGGACTTCCTACTACTCTCCCTCCCTATTCCACTCGTCATTTTTCTCTCATACTCATCAGGCCATTCTAAAAGGAACGGAGGATAAACAGAGGGAGAGATGAAACACAGAGCAGAAAGAGAACATGATAGGAAACAGGGAGGAGGAAGGATGCTGATGGTGGTGAGTCAACAGGAGGGTTTCATTGCCACTGAATAAAATTAGTGCTGAGAAATAGTACGAGAGGAGCGTTGGTCGGGTCAAGAACATAACGGATGCTGCAGTCGTCCTTACCCCACTTCCATTTCAGTTCACGATTCAGCTAAGTGCACCCTGCGACTATTTATGGTAACTTGCATAAATCGATTAGCATAAAGCTGGCTCAATTCCGCTTCATTACACAGAACGCCATTTACAGTCCATACCACACCACCATGAGACGCCTCCTCTGTAACGCCCATGCAATAACAAGAAAATAGACTTTTTGAAAACAAAAAAGAACATCGGCATATGGTGTTCGGCAAAAAAAACATATCATCTTCCCTCGCTGCATTCACGTTCCCAGCAAAGAGCAAAGAAAGTGTTATTAACTCGCGCAGGTGAAATACACAGCAGATGGTGTTGATAAAAAAAAGTAAGAGCAGAGCCTGTAGTGTAACATCTCCATTCTGCTGCCATCAATTCTCTGAGCAGTTGTGTTCCTCTCCCACGGTGCAACGCAACAACACCAAATCTAATTGTCCCCTCATCCCCTGGTAGTTATTGGGATGTAAGGAAAAACAAAACGCTCGGTTGGATTGATGGGGTAATCAATGAGAGGGTAACTATGGCAACAGGTTGTCAGGACTTAATGGTATATTTCTGACTCTTGAGGCAGACTGATCGAGAAGGGGAGTGCCCAGAGACTAATTTAGCGTGCCAGACAAACCGAGGAACAGTTAAAGGTTAAATGGATCAATTAACTTGTGACCTTTGCATTTTATTGTATTTAAGGTTCAAAACAAATGAAGTTATTATTATTGTTCCATTATTGTTGGGAGTCCATAGCCTCAGTTTAGTTATGTACTGGATAAATTATATTTTGACCTGACAAAGGTCTTCTGTCTGGACAAAGCTCCCTGGCAATCCTCCAAATACTTCAGTTATTTTAATCTCACAGACTCAACTGATGAACATTACAATCCAGTGCTGTCATGGCTTATAAATGTTAAGTGACTTTTTTTCAACACAGCAAAAAGTGATACAACACAAACACTGTGGTATTTTCAATCGTTATTTGGCATTTAGCACCCCAGACTGGTAACTTTGAATAAGTCATCTGACCGGAGGATGTCTGCTTGTATTGGATCAGTGTATGGCCTGAAGCAGTGGCTGTGTTCCAGTGTTGGTTCTGACGTGAAACGAGTAGAAGCAGATTCTTTCTGTGTCTCCTTGGGCTCTGGCTACAGTGGGACACACACTGGACCAGATGTCCCATCTCAAAATACAAAAATCGACAGCTCTTAAGGGTCAAGTCAATTGAAAACTCACACCACAATGACCAAAGAGGCAACAAAAAAACTTCATCTTTCAATTTAGTTTTCCCAGAAGGAGCCAGAGAATAATTATGTGTAAGGAGACCATACTGACCATTAGGGCTTGGGAGCGATTGGCCAGCAGTTTCTCTATGTTCCCAGCAGCCGTCGACACCAGTTCCCCTGCATTGTTCGATTCCACGCTGAAGTGAGCTTTGTGTGTTTTATATATCTGAGACAATCACAGAGGAAAAAACGTGGGTCAGAGATAAGCAGAAATTAAACCTTACAACATGCAAATATGTCCCTAGGAGGTGGACCAGTGCTAGTTGGTTATCATAGAGGCTGAAAGGTCTTAATGCTAACATTGGCTTTGTAGCAATAGCAAAAAGTTACATCTTTAACACTGAATGTTTTTTTAAATGGGTTTTGGGGTGTTGTATCACTTTCCCTAGACGTGACCTTATCAGGATGAAACCTCAGCTTTCAAGTTAAGTAAGATCACAGGATAAGCAGATGAGGTCATTGCATACAAATATGCTGTGTAGACGTGACAAGTTGTCATAAATCTTTTAGTTTTCTCTGAGTGTGTAAATTTACTGTATCTGAAAATTCTTCACTGGATCTCACTGACCACATCACACTGATTAAAGAAGGAAGTGACATGTCCACTGATTGAATTGCACTGTCAGGTTATGCAAGAGGACCACTCACTGTGCTGCGGAATATGTTCTAGCAAAAGATATCAAAAAAAGGACATGCACAAATGCCAAACAGCCAATTATTTAGCAGCCTAGAGGGATTCTGTTGTCCGACATTCAAACCACACAACTGAGGCGCGTGCATGTGTCCTCATCCTCTAGGCGTCTGATGGATTTTGTTTTCATGCAAGAGAAATACTAAAGGGTAATCCTACTACTTTTTTAGATTTGGGTTATGTTGCAATAAAGGACGCACAACTATTTTCATGCATTTTTCGATCTACTCTGTATGTTGGGACTAAACTGTAGATGTTAAAATATGTCTTCTATTTACAATATTTGAAGAAGAATAAGAAGGATGCATTATGTCCATTAATGTAAAACATAAAGTCATCTACTCCTCCTAGTGAGCTCATGTGTGAGTGAGTGCAGGACACTGTGTCTGTGACGTTGATCTCATCTGATCGTATATAGGGTTGTCAGAGTGAAATGATTCACCATTATGTCTAATAAGAAGCTACTATATATTTACTGTAGCTTGGTGATGCGTTGTGACAACTGAGGTCGAGCAAGGAGGAATAATAACTGTGAGAGAAGTGACCAAAGATCAATAATGAATCTGTGTAACAGGTTTTATTAAAACTGACATTAAAAGTCATTCTGCAAAGAAAGCAGGTGTACGTTTTGATTAGTGCACTTATTGGCTTCAATAATAATTGAGCATACTTGATATGAGGATGAATTTACTGAGCTGTGAGTTTCATCGCTATAATGCAAAAGGTGTAGGCTCGGACAAACATTTCATTTTCTGAGTGAACGCCAGTTGGCTCAGGGTTTCTGGTCTAAATACAGCACAATGGCTCCTTCAAAATGTTAATGGAGTAAAGGGACAGAAGAAGAAACAACAAATATGTTTCCATTGGACCCAAAAAAGCAACGACCCTGGCAATGCTTAGTGAAGTTATTGAAGCCTGCTACTGGTCAGTGGTGATGGAACTGCACAAAGCATTGACCTACAGCCAGTTTGCAAGCGTGTTTCTGTATTTGCACTTTGTTCTGCTCTCTCTGCCACCATGGATTTATCCCTCTTTGAAAAATATACCTAATATTTGCAGTATCATCATAGTACATTTCTTTTTCAACAAGTGAGAAACCATTGCTACAACAGTTAAAATCAGTTTGTGTGTATAAGGTTGTGTTTACCTGTATTAGGTCCTCCAAGCCACTGGTTGTGTCCGTTAACGTGATCAAATCATTTTGCATCTGGTCGACCCATTCCTTTATCCTGAGAACACAAAAACCAAACCATTAGTCATTCGTACCCCCTCCGATGGAAATCACACATTGCACATTTCCTTCAGTTTGAATACAGCCCATGTGAACACATGACCTGTGCTTTACTTCTTACTGTAACAATATGCTAAACAGCACAGGGAGGGGAAGCATGAAATAATAATGTTAAGCCAAGTGAAAACATTGTTCAACTCCACATGAGCTGTGCATTATGGCGTGAGCTATTCATAGTTCTCAGCATGAGAATGTCACGTCCTCTGGGTTGAGATACTGGTTAATGTATTATGATGAAAAAGATCAGTCAGGAAGGGAAAGAGAAAAGAGAAAGAGAAAGAGAAATGCTCATTTATTATGGTTTGGACTTTGTTTTACAAGAGTTAAACCAACTTGAGTGAGATCAGAACCTATCCAAGAGTTCTTTAATCAAGTGGAAATCAATAGTTTCTGTATTTCAAATCAGTATCAGTACAACCAGTTGTGTTCTATGACCTCACTGAGATGCACATGTCCATAAACACATCAAAGCATGTGAAAACTGTTGAAAATCTGATTTACACCCTGTAATTTAGCCATTAGGGCTTTAAGGACAATGGTTCCTTATATGCAAAACTTCACATTCAGTTCAGTTCAGGTTCTGTGTGCTTGTACACGAATGTGCATGTAATATGAGACCATCCCCACTATTCCCCGAACTGTCAAAACCAATTAATCTCTTTAAATGGCAGATGTGATATGATACGGCTACATGGCCCTATTCGTGTTTATTTTTAAAATGAATGTGGTAGACGACTTCCTTTATTTAGGCAGTAACAAAACTGTTTTAGAAATGTTGAAGATAGATGTTGAAGAACAGGATGCTACCAAGCGGACGAATTGCAGCTCTTGTGGTTACATCTTCCACACTGTAAGTACACCTACAAACCCTGCACCTGCTCCTTTCCAACACAAAAATAAAAAATACATGATCCATAATGAAAATTGCCTTTTCTCCCCCACAGTGAGAATTAACCTCCTCACCTTCCACAGCTCTGACATACGAACCCCGTCTATGTTATCTTATTTAAAAAATACAGTGTAATGTGATCAGGAGTTAGCTCACGCTGGAAATGTGTGGCATAGTGGCCGTGCAGTATATTTAGCCTTGTGAGAGACAGCTGCTGGTCGCTGAGGGCAGATACAGGATGTGTGTACTGTCAGCACATAACTTTTACCCCCAAGTCACACTTATATCCGCAAACACACACATATAGTGTGAGAAAATAAGGACATCATCTCTTCCAGATGGCTTTAAAGAAGGCTTTATGTGTGTCAGAGCCATGGTTGGACATGTTTGCCGACTGCTGTACACGCAGAGCCAGCTCCAGGGTCAAGATAAGGTCCACTGACCATAGCAAGCAGGTGTCTATTGTGGTTGTTCTGCATGTGACTTTTCCAAATGAACCCAGTTGTCCATAAGCAAGAGGGGTGGGTTTTCCAACAGGTGTCTGATGGGAAAACGGTGAGTGTGTGAATATGTGTGTGTGTGTGTGTGTGTGTGTGTGTGTGTGTGTGTGTGTGTGTGTGTGTGTGTGTGTGTTGTGTTATGCTCCATCAAAACAGAGATGAGGTCAGGGCTGGGCAACAAGACAACATCCATAGCATTTTATAAAAGGTTTTAGTATACGTTGATATATTGCTTTCATTCAGCACAGTGAGGAGGTGTCACACATAATTAAACTACCTCAGATTTGCAAAATATTCTTCATCTATCAATCCTTTGTCATTCTCTTCCCCTAAAGAAGAGTTTAAAACCACCAACTTCATTCAGGAGTAACAATCTGTCTTAAAACTACTTCAAATAACAAAACTTTATCATGGTCATACTGAGCCCCAAAAGTCCTGACAGGGGAAGTTTTCTTGTTTTGCACAAGATATTACTATATATATATATATACGATATAAGTAAATGTACAGTATGTGCAGGAAATAGTTCCTGCTCATGTCAAAAGGTAGTTAGGCTTGAGCGAGTTAGTTCTGCAGAACACCTCCTACAGTAACCAGCTCATCCAAGTTCAGTATTTCATTTCTAGATCCAGACAGCTCGGACTAATTCTGTGTTTGCAGAGCTTCTTTGCTGAGCCCAAACAAGGAGAGGACAGTTACAACAATAAAACATGATCCAGGGAAGGTGTCTAATTACAGTGGTTGTGGTTAAAAGTGATTAGCTCCCTCACTTGTCTGTAACAGCTTAGACGAGGTCAGCCTGTAACACAAAACTCAAAATGTCTGGGTTTAATAAGATCTGTTGTGATTAGCTGACTTACTAATAACAATCTCTTTATCAGTGACATGCATAAATTCCCTAAAGAACCCCAGAGTGTGCAGCTTCCTCCTGAGTGAAGACAGATGTTGTTGCATGTTTCATGAAGAATAGAGGCCGAAGGACATTGTTTTAACAATGAAGCATGTGCTGCATTTGACGAGAGGATGGAAACTTGGAGAAGGACATGGAAAAATTAGATAGCATCATCCACTCCCATTATTCTGCCCCCCCCCCTTACTCCCTCTGTCCTGCTCCTTGGGGAAATCTGAGGTGGGAGAGGTGAGAGCGGGGTGAGGGGTGGTCGACGAGGAGAGGACGGAAGCCTCCAAAATGGCTGGTGAGCCATGTAGCGCTGGAATGAGAGGAGCTAAGTAAAAGATCAGCCAAGTGTGAGACCTGATGACATCACAAGCCTCGTCTCTCTCACACGTCTCACTGAGTCATTAATATCAGCCATTTATGGAGCAGGCTGTTTTTCTCTGACAGGCAATTGCTGAAACTGATTTTTGTCTTCTTCTTTACTTATTTTTGGTAGCTGCGGCCACTTATTCATTCAACTTCGACTGGGGCAGATTGTTTCTGATCAGAATTTTCATATTATGTAAAAATGTGAGACTGTTGGAAACACAGACTGTATATTTAAGAGTGACGATGCATGGCCACCTCCTTCCACTATCCAAAAACGAAGCCAAAATATCTAGGATACGAATCTTGCACATTTGGAGCCGGAGTCTGTGTGGCTCACAGTCCCCCTCTTCTGAAACCACATGTAAATTCACTGGATCCTGATTACTTACAAACAAACAACAAGCAAACTGACAGTGAAACACAACATCTTTAAATACAGACTATGGATGGAGTTTAATGTTGAGCTACAGCGATGGACTGAAGTAAAGATGCACTGCACTGATTTTACACATTGAGTTCAGTTCACTTGTCACAGGGAATAATACTCAGCTTGTAACAGCAGTTGTACGATGTGTTTAGTTGAAGCTTCACGAGTCTACCAGCTCTACAGACTTCACTCGACTGTACCAGACATGGAAGGTCATGACCTTTGCTCAAGACGTAAAAGTGAGAACATATCAGGTTCTTCTTCTGACGTATGGAGCTGCAGTTTCTGGTCAGAATGTTTTCTGTCACCACTTTCTTTAGCAACTGCTCTGAAACCATTTAATAAAATAAAAAATTTCTACAAGATGCTCAAGTAACAAAAGAGAGAATTTGTTCCTTGCGGCAACAGAATCTACATTTTCTAAATTTTGATTCTGCTCATCGAGTACTGTGTGAACGGGATCGATACAAGAAATCCTTTAGGACCTTGGAGTCTCTGAACCCCCCCGGTCTTAATTTAGACCAGTGAAATGAAGCCAGTGTGTAAGATACATGATATTGAGAATATCTATAGCATAAAAATATATCTGTGAAGATTCTCTGTATGATAAAATCTATATCATTCAGGTCAAGGTCTTTAGTAAATGTGGTTTACGTGGCAATGTCGGGATAATATCAGAACATTGGTATCCATGTAAAAGTGTCTAGTGTTTTAGGGAACATCAATCAGACTGGACATCACTTCCCTCAGCAGCTCTTGCAGTCACTTGCAATATCCGTGTTTTACCGTGTGACACCACACACACATTCACCGGTATTGAACTTGAAAATGAGCCACACACACACTGGGCCTCGTTGGGACCGTGAGATCATCACAGGTTCAGACTTTGAACAGTTGGTGACGCACTTGGTCGGAGTTTGAATGAAAAAATCGGCTCTGAAGAGATTAGATGGAGATTTCATCCTCTCGTTCTCAGTCACAAGCACAAGTTTTGCCAGTGAGTTGGACGGTGTGAGGCTCTGGTGAGTGGTGTCAATGATATAACACCACATTACATCACAGCTCCATACTTGATGTAGACAAACAAGCAGAACACACACACGAGACTCTCTCTCTACTAATTTAGCCCATTCTTCTACTAAACCAGTGAGCATGTATCTTAATTTGTGCTTGACCCCTCGGCCTCAAGCACAGAGGCTCATGGGTAGAGGGCCTCTCCCTTTCCTTTAATGACTGGAAGAGAAGCTGCCTCTGTAAAGGCAGCTGTCGTGTTTGTGTGTGTATGCCTACGTGTTTGTGCATGTGTGTCAACGCTCGTGTGTAACCAGAGCACCGGGTCCCTCGGAGGGCAGCAGGGGGTGGGCCTGGGTCAGAGGTCACCAGGACAGGTGCAGCTCTTTTGAAGGAGCTTTTACTGTAATGAGTGGGTGTGATCCCATTTGTCCGTGTGTGTGTGTGTGTGGGATCAGTGTCACACAGTGTAATTCAGTATTTAGAGTGACGGACTGAAACATGAAAATACACTGAGAGCAGCAGCTACTGTATAACTTTACATGTTAAACCTAATTATAAAAATATGGCTGTGTGTAATGTAACAAGTGAAAAACCACAGACTCAGCTTGCATTGAGCAGCAGTGACACACACACTGAACCAATCGACAGTCACGTTGTCAGAAGTCGACAAATTCTGCTACTCATTTTAGCATCTTTCAGCTCATTGCTTTGTTTTCACCTGTGAAGCATTGAGGTTAATAAGAGCCACATTGCAGTACAGTGGCAGGTTGTGAATGTAGGTGAAATTTACAGGCACGAAAGCAGGAACACTAGAAACCGACGACAGGGAGCTAAACTGAAG